GTGTAGGGAGGGGCAGCTGAGGTCAGGCCTCGTCCAGGACACTGATGTTCAGCATCCGTGTGCAAGCCCCGGAGCCTCTATTTTCTCATCTGCACAGGTTTGCTCCATAGGCTCTGAGGAGAGGGGGAGGCTGCCCAGGTGCTCGCTGATCAGAAAGCACAGCCTGACCTGTGTGGGCTTGCATGGTCAGTGTTTTTCTCGTCCCCGGAGACGCCCCTCCCAGCTCTCCCGGCTCCCGCAGAGTCCTCAGAGAAGAGTCCAAGGAGCTGGGCCTGCCGCCCGGGAGTCACCCACTTCCTGTCCTGCACCACTTACACGTCTGTTTCCTTCCCAGGGTCTACGAAGAATAGGCTGAGCAAGCAGCAACATCCCTGACACGCAAACTCCAGCGTGATTGGGAGACTTGAACAAAGGACTTTGCGGAGCAAAAACCAGAACACACACCCCCGCACACCTTTCTTTTCTCGCAAGCATAAGACGCAAATTATTCTATATTATGAAGCACTTTTTACCAAGGGTTGGTTTTTACTCTTTTTTTATAGCTGTGTTCAAAAGGCGTCCAGATGTGGGACTTGTCTCTTGTGCTCCAGACTCCATCACAGGCTGCCTTTTACTGCGAAGGGGGGTGGGGGGGCGGGGTGGGGAATGCCCACTTTTCTTTTTTTTTTAAGTGCTTTTTGGTTTGTTGGTTTGTTGGTTTGTTTTTAATTTGTCCGTCCATCGCTCTGTGTGGATCTGAGCTTTAGATGCACGTGGGAGGCACAGTGAACGTGGCCGAGGCATTTCACACCAGTGTCACGCCACTGCTCGCCTGGGAGCCTCCCATTGGAGCGCCTGGGGTCTGGGGCTCTTGGGGTTGATGGTGGGGGTCACAGCGGCAGTGTGACTCCAAGGTGACCCCGGACACCAGGCAAGCAGGAGCAGGTCTCTCTGTATCTGTTCCATGAGGAGCACACGTGAGCTGTCAGAGACGTGTGCTTGCTCCCCGGGCTGACCGTACACACTTCAGAAATGCATTTCCGAGGCCCTTTGATAGCGAAGCAAACGATCTTTCTGGAAGGTGTTGGGGTCTTTCCTCCAAACTGAGGGATAAGAAAGGTTTGCTGCTTCGATTGTTAATGCTTCCGGCGGCGTGTGAGGTTCCTGGCAGCGTTCGCGGACAGCTTAGGAGAAAACATGGAACTATCAGAATACACACACCACACACGGCTGCAGACACACATATTCTGTCGACCAGGGGGACAACCTGCCAGGCGTCCCTTTCCCGCCCACGCCACGACAGACGACCTTTGTGCTTTCCCTGGCTATTCTCCCATGCGCCCCAGGACAGTCCTCGTTTGAAAGCCAAGATGACCCAGCGCCCTTTCCTCTGTAAATATGCTGTAAGAACCCCACCCACCCCCACCCCACCCCCTGCCCTGGACACGCTAGCCCTCCATACGCCGCCTTGCACTGCTGTGTTATATGCTGTGTCCACGTCAGAAACCACTAGCGTTGCATGCAGACGTTCGTATTCTTTCCAAGACAAAAAGAAAAGAATAAAATATATTTCAAATGTACCAAACTCCTAGACTACTGACTTCCC